TCCCGACGTGGCCGCGACAACCTGGAGCCAAGTTCGTACGAAATCCGTGGTGTTATTGGTCGGCGTAAATGGCCCCCAGGCCTGCCCCCCCTTCCATGCGCCTAGCCCAGTGCCGAATTTGGTACATGAGCAGCACTAAATGGCGGCCACTCAGTGCAAGGCGCTAACTTCCATCTTCCAAACAAACCCGAACCGAAACTGCTATACCCCATAATACACGCGAACGCGCCGAATCCGTACGTACCCACCTGGGCTTTCTAGAAAGACGCAACTGACATTACATTCTTCACTGAACAATGAATTATCCGCCATGAGGTTGCCAACGCGGAGCAATTTCTTAAGGTCGTAGCTTGTGGCCTAGGCCCTAAGTTCTCCACATCTTCACGTCACTGTCTCAGGCCGCAACGCTATCACCTTCCTCATGAAGCCAGTGGTGCTCTTCCTCCATATGCGAGGAAGCCGCCTCCAGCACAACACCAGGGTGTGAATTCCGAACACCGGCAGATCTTTCTGTGACAGCCATCTCCCAGCAATGCTCGGGAAAACTAGGGTTTCTGGCCAATCCCCCGTGATCATGTGTTCCACAGGTCGTATGCAAGGGTAGTTGTCCAGTGTAGGAGACGTCCGACAATTCCTAGAGGTCTTCACACTGTACGAAGAGCTTGGGATGCTCGAAACAATCGATCCTCATGTGTCTGAACATTACTCAGAATGTAGACTACTGTGATTACAGCAATACGGCACTCTCCAAGCCTTCCAATTGTCTTATCTCCGTTATTGAGTTCATCTGGATTCTCTGGCTATTTCGTTGCTGACCGCCGCACACTGATCCTGAAATTGTGTGTAACTAACATAATACTGAAGACAGTAAATGAAAGCTCTCACCAGTGACAGGGCTCAGTTGAGAGGATGGGACCTCAGCAGTAGTGGTGCTCAGTTGAGAGGATGGGACCTTAGCAGTAGTGGTGCTGAGTTGAGAGGATGGGACGCCATCACCAGCAACAGTGGGGTTGGCTGTGGAATCTGTGTCTGAGATGATAGAGACGTGACTACACCACTCAGAGATGAGTTACGGTGACTTACCAGTAGGAGTCCCAGGTACCACATCCCGGCAACGAACTGCTTCCACTTGCATAGCTAGTCTTGGCAGGTTGACGGGACGACTCCTTAGAGCATCTACAATGATCCTCCATGTTGGTCTGGGCTCTTTTTGCCTGGTGAAGCTAAGAAGAATGTGCAGCAGACGCTCCATTGGATCCAGGTATTGGCAATGAATCGCCTCCACCTCGTCGATGCGGAATTTTTAACTTGAGGCCGAGCACATAAGACTGGGTCTTAGCTGGCAGCAGCTCCTCTAACATATCCGCGACATCATCTGGTTTTAGCGTCTCATCCACAGCGGGAGCTACAAAGAGAAAAACACTTGGTGCCATTTCTAACTACAATGTAGCAAGTGAGCATCTGTATGCTTCACCAGGCCTGTTTTATGTCCCATAAGAGAAGGACTATGCCATAAGTAAAGTACTTGTTGCCGACCAAAGTGAGCCCACCTAGTCGTCTGTATACATGTGTTGTGACTCGCACTTCATCACTGCACTTACCACAATGCTATTAAATAGGCGTTAAAAATGAACTAGTAGTTTACACAATGACTTTTAAGTCCTCTCTTAGTCTCGTTCCCAGTGCTCCTGCACGAAACAGGGTCTGGTATACAACGTCCGATTTATTGGTTGAGCTGAATCAGCATGTGTACGTAAATTGCGTAATCAACCTGTCAGTCATGCTGATTCAGCTTAACAAATAAATCGGACGTTGTATACCAGACCCTCTTTCGTGCGGGACCACGTGAGGGTCTGGGAACGAGACTGGTCCTCCCTCTGTTTATTTCACACTTGTAGTAGGTGCTCACCAGCAGGACCTCAATCGGGTGCCACACATATGTGACCGTGCACGCAAAAACCAACCTTACGCCGCATTTTTGTGAAGTAGCTGTTCGTTGTAAGCTTGAAATGTGCTTGATACAGCGCTTATTTTGTATATGTTCGGGAAAACCTTAAAAGTTACGATTTTTCAAACGCGGGGCAACGCGGGGCTATACAAAAACGCGAATAGTCGAATGAAATTTTTCCGTATTCTTGTCCCGCGTACGAATATGACGTCACGTTACAGATTTTTCCCGGGAAATTTTTAGAGCAACCAGTGTGAGAGTGCAGTTTGACAGCAAACGACGCTTCTATCGCCCTACCGGGGCCTGAATAGACTCAGGCTTCTCTGTGAGGTGATTCAAGGCAGAAGCAACGCTTTGACTTCTGTGCGCCATCTTTGCGACAGCTGCATGTACGTCGTGCTGTCACTCTTTAGACAGGTCGTTCGATCGTGTTTACAGTGAAAACTCCGGCCTGTGTGTGCTATGGATGCTGTTCTAGATTCTAAACCAGACAGCTTAGCCAGCTACGTGACTGTTGAGCCGTCTGCCGGCTCCGTCTGACTTGAGCCGTGCACACTAGCTGCCGTATTTTTTAAGGCGGCACGCTTAGATGATCTACTCGCAACCACTCCAAGTTCTTCAGGACCTTGTGCTCGTGTGCGGAGTAAGGAAAGTGACTGGTAGTAGCTGCATCTTTGTGCCTAGTTTCGCGGGAAAAAACGGTGTGTACGAGATTTCCGTACACCCCGCCGTGAGCGTCCGTGTCCGCTGCTCGTTCACTGACCACCGCTACAGAGAAATAGTTCTTTTCGGCGGAGAAGGCATCCTAGGAGGCAGGAAAAGGTACAAGTAGGTAGCTCTGACGGAAGCTTTACTTATGGCAAAAAAGTGGTTTTGCTACGGTGTGTAGCGTTATATTCACGCGTACTCGATAATTTAACATTGCGGTGTAAGGTTGGTTTTTGCGTGCACGGTCACATATTATTTTGCCCGGTGCAGTTAAAAACAAAAGTAGAGTGTCAATGTCATTGAAAAGCTCTGAGAAGGCAGTTAAGTATTTTCTCGGTGCATCCACACGCACCCGTGAATTGAATGGGTGGGCCACGTAGGGAAAATGCCTGCAGTTTGATTGCGCAAACACATACGAAGTAGGCCTGAGGCTCTCTCATCATGTAGGAAGACAATCTAGAGAGAAACTAAGAAGTGCACGTGGATACACGTTAAATACGTCTATATAGCCTGCGAAGATAGAGAGAAGGAAGTCTCAAAGGCTAGTAGTGAGCGTTTCTTGATGAAGAAGTTCGAGCGTTTCTTGATGAAGAAGTTTGAGCTAGCTAGTAGTGAGCGTTTCTTGGCGCAAGAAAGCGATGACAATGTGGAATAGCCTCTCCTTTGGCTGCTGGTACGTCGCCTGAATGGCCTTCACGTCGCGAGAAGTGACGTTCAGCACCCGACCCAGGGTGAGGGTGTGGTTCTGTGCCTCCAGCAGTTCCTCCACCATCATCCCCGCATCGTCCGGTGTTAACGTCTCGTTTATTGTCGGGGCTATGTAATTAAGACCAATCTCCTGTGTTTCTACATAAACCTTTACCTTCAGCCATTTGGCATTCGCGAGGCAGAAGTCTGGTCTGGTCCGTTATAGGCAGCAGAGAGAGAAAGAGCCGCCAGAATGGCTCCGTCCAGTGCCAGAATGGGGTGGAGTTAATAAAGTCTGGGTTTATCCGGGCGCGGTCAGGTTCCAGGCGGAAGTTGCCACGACAACACCGACACATGTTCTAAGTAGTGCGCACCTGTAAGGATCTGCTGCACAGACGACAGCTGGGCTATATACCCATCGCCTGCAAGTGTCAGTTGAGAACGGAAAAAGCTGTAGATGCGATGGCGTCTGTAGCTGAGTGCGTGGATTGTGCAGACCCGAGCGCAGAGAGTTCTACCGATGAAAGGTAAGTATGCGAAAATGGGGGCGTATCTGCAATGACTCAGCTCTTTATTTGCAGCTGTGCGGTTGAGGTGTTTCCTATTGTCGAGAGGGAATTGACTATGAGTGCTGTGGCTGAGAGAAACGTGGAAGTGATGGAGGAGGTGGTGATGGTGGTGGAGAGGAGAAGAAGGAGGAGGGTGTGGAGGGAGGTGAGGAGTGTGGAGCAGTGGGAGTAGGAGGTGGAGGAGAAGTGGAGGTGGGTATTGGGGGACTGTGAAAATAGACGTGGGGTGGATGCTGTAGGAGAGGTGAAGGAGGGGTATGAGGGAGGTGGAAATGATGCAGTAGAACAGGTTTCGGGTGTTGGGGGAGGAGTGGATGAGGGAGATGGTACAGAAATGGAACTAAGTTGTGAAGGCGAGGGAGCTGCAGTAGTGTTGGGTGATGCAGACGCTTCCGGAGATGGCGAAGAAAGTTTCAGTGAGGAGGTGGGAGAAGGAGGAGATGGTGGGACTGAGAGAGGTGCGGAGTTAAGGGAAGGTGCGGAGATGGAAGTCAATGGGGAAGATGAGAAAACTGCAGTAGTTGTGAATGATGCTGTAACTTCAGAGGTGGTAGATTGTGGAGAGGTGAAAGTGGAGGGGAGGGAGGAGGAGAGGAAGGGAGATAGAGAGAGGTGGTGGGAGAGGGGACGAGGGGGAACCAGAACAAATGGAGAGGTTGGGCTCACCAATGGTGTGTTGGAGGAGGATAATGTGGAGGGAATGAGGAGGAGGAGAAGAGAGGGCGCTAATGGTGAAGATATGGAGGTGGGGACAGAGAAATCTGAAGAGGTGGGAGGTGGATTGAGTAAGGCAGTGGACGAGGAAGGGAACAAGAGTGGCGGTAAAACAAGTGCTGATGCAGAAACCAGGACAAGAGTAGGAGGAGGAGGGGGAGGAGGAAGAGGAGGAGAGAGAACAAGGGAAGTGAGCAGAGAAAGCAGTGGCAGTGGAAGGAGAGAGAAGGAAAACAGTGGACCAAGGTACGTAAAGAAGAACAGCTACACATTGCAGTGTAATCCGAAAATTCCAGTGTTTCAAAGTGCAAGTAGACTTGATGTGATTAAACCAACACTCTAGGATGACGAAGGAGAGCTTGCGGAAACTGTGCAAGGAGCAGAAGCTCTACCTCACTCCATACCTCAACGATGTCCTCTACCTGCACTACAAAGGTGGGAGTGTTCACAATTACCGCTTCCAATAGGCTGCAGCACAAACTTAAAACTCAGAATAAGAGACACCTCTAGAACGTCAGAAGTGTCCTTTATTCAGTACACAGAAGTAATTTTAATTGGCGAGCAAAGCAAGCCTACATATGTATACCTAGTCATCTGAATGCGGGTAATGTACTCAAGTGTTAATCGTGGTTGTTCACCCAAAATGAGTTGTATTCATCCTAGTGCACTGAACGGAGGAGGTTTTATTGCATTACTGTGCTCCACAGGGTACCCGTGTATTGAGGCTCTGGACGAGTACACTGGGTTGAAGTGCATCTGGCTGGAGTGTAATGGACTCATGAAGATCGAGGGACTCGACAATCAACTGGAACTGAGATGTCTGTGAGTATAAAGCATGCACCAGCTTGTTAAACGGACAAGAAAATAAAAAGCTGATTCCACCCGGGATCGAACTGGGGGCCTTGCAGTGTGTTAGACTCAAGTGATAACCACTACACCATGGAATCAGATGTTAACTAATATACTCAACTTCTTTTTTTCCACTTGAAAGTATTGTATAGAGAGACAAAAAAGGGAGAAAAAGCTGATTCCACCCGGGAACCTTGAGTGTGTTAGACCACTACACCATGGAACCAGATGTTAACTAATATACTCCACCTCTTTTTTCCGCTTGAAACTAGACATAAAAGTGGGAAAAGCTGATTCCACCCGGGATCGAACCGGGGACCTTGAGTGTGTTAGACTCACGTGATAACCACTACACCATGGAATCAGATGTTAACTAATACACTCAACTTCTTTTTTTCCACTTGAAAGTATATATAGAGAGACAAAAAAGGGAGAAAAAGCTGATTCCACCCGGGATCGAACCGGGGACCTTGAGTGTGTTAGACTCACGTGATAACCGCTACACCATGGAATCAGTTGTTTCCTATAAGCCTTCCCTCCTCCATCCGTCTTATCCACCCTTTACCTGTTCCTCTGCAAAAAGGACACAATGGGACCATGAAAAACTCAGACGTTGAAAGTAATAGCACCAGATGTAAATGATTGCGCCCAGTGCAATAAGTTTCTGCTTTTGCTGCTTTTACATACCCTTTAACAGGAGATGAGAGAACCCCTCTAATCCAGACACAAGTGGGGCAGAAGAAAGTTACCGTACTAGCAAGGCTTATTTCAGGCTTCATGAGCATTGGGTGAAGAAGAGGGATGTCCTTGGAGTGGTTATTTGGGGCTTGTGTGGTGGAAAATTAGTTTGAACATGTAGCCGCTATCCATTGTATTATAGCATGATACGCACTAGGTCATCCCTGACTTGTCTCCTTGCTTTTATACCATTACTATAATCAATATTTACTTGTTAGAAGAGGTTCCACGGTATATATATCTCTATACAGATTCCTGCACCAGAACCTGATCAGTAGGATTGAGAACATTGGCCACCTCCAGCAGCTGGACACCCTCAACCTCTCCAACAACTCCATCTCACGACTAGAGAAACCTCCGTACGTAGTATGTATGTTCTCTAATAACTATCCTGAATCTGACGGGACCGTCCTGAATACAATGTCCCACTGTCCCGCTAATCACATGCCTTGTCCCGATTTCCTCGAATGTCGCTGGTTAGTAACGTTTTTAGCACAAAGCTGTTGGTTTCTGCCTTATTCCTTCCACTCGTCCTGAATTTTGTTTTATCTAATGTCCCGCTTATCACACACCTTGTCCCGATTTCCACGAACGTCACTGGTTAGTAACGTTTTTAGCATACCTCTAATTGGTTGCTGCCTTATTTCTTCCACTAAAGGAAGGTCTGTAATAATAGTCAGTAATTAGTCGGGGCAGCAGCATCAATGAACCAGGCCCACATATTCATGCTCTAAGCAGAGCAGACAGACACAATCGTATTGTGTGATTCGTGCTACTTTTTCCGCTTGCCCGACCAGTGTCGCGATAGCCTAATATTATGTGCAAACCTCCCGTCATACTATTTTGTGCAAAACCTAATGTTGTGTGCAAAACCTGTGTGCAACCTTGCAAGCAAAGAAAGGCTTTGATTGGAAGGTTTGGACATAACAAGTATGCCCACTCCACATCTCTCGGTTGTTTGTGTGTGTGTGTGTGTGTGTGTGTGTGTTCAGGTCAGCTCCCAGTGCTGACGACGCTGCAGATAGCCCACAACAGACTGCGGACTGCTGAAGACATTGAGGAGTTGGCTCACTGCCCCAAGCTCAGGTTATTGTCGCTGCCAGCTCACACTCTGTGTTGTACAGTATGCTAGAACAGAACAGGTGTTAATGGCTAAAAACCAAACTTCGTGGTCCTCTTATGTGCAATATGATCCTACTAAGTTGCTGATTTCGAGGGGGTGGTGTGGTTCAAGGTGGGGGGACCTTCACCAAAAAAACCCGCATAAGGAGCCTGAAACAAAACAGTCCTGTGACATTTTGCCACAGCACAGAGAAAAGGTGGTCTATCCCTGTCACAGAAGCTACAGCAGTGGTGGAAGCGACACGTCTCGATGCTAATAACAGGCCTTCGTTTAGAAAATGATCCAAGGGGGCGAGGGTTTATTAATGGGTGGCAAGTGCCCCCCTGCCCCCACTAAATGAACCCCTGAATAATTGCACTGTGAGATGTTCAATTTTCTCATGGGCTTCAGTGTAAAGCAGGCTTGATTCATACCCTTTCGGGGGTTAATTTGAGGGGGCGGGCACTACCCCCTTGATCAAATTTCTCCCCCCCCCTTGGAGTTTGGGTGAACCTTTTAACACAGACACAGGGCTATGCCCCGTCTTTTTGCCTCCCCCCTGGATGTATGTGTGTATGTATGTTTGTAGTTCTCTTTCTCTTCTCTCCTCCTGTCATAGTGTGGTGGATATGTCTTACAACAGACTGGATGACCCAGCTGTGATGCATGTCCTCACTGCCATGCCCGAACTGGTACAATTCTATACAATGATGTTTATTGGTGCAATGGGGCCCCTGCCAATTACGTAATAATTGCTTGCAAGTGCTCTAAAATTCGGTGAAAAATAAACCTAAAGGGAATGTGGCAGTATTATACACGTAAGGGCTAGAAATTACTTCATTGCATTCCATGCACTAGGTTCTTTTTAGCTCTATCCCCCCCCCTCTCTCTCTCTCCTCACACGCACACATGACTGTATACAGAGAGTCCTGACAATGACTGGGAATTCTGTCATCAGGAAAATCACCAACTACCGCAAGAACCTCATCTGTGCCATTGTGAGTCCACAACATTTCCAACACGACAGAACATGTGGAGTTATAATGCCATGCATTGTTGTGCAAGATGGCGATGGGTGGGTGGGTGTACAAAACATTTTTATGGACTGTGTTCACAACCAAAGTCCATAACAACTGAGTATAGCCGTTACCCATTGCGACCGAGATCATGGGGCACACTACTGGTGGAGACACCCCAGGTTACACTGTACATTAGCATGCAGAGTTGTGGCTCGGTGCCTGACCTTGACCAGCATGAGTGGGGAGGGGCCTAGGCTACGAATGTCTGGGCATGGTCGGCAGCACATACCAGTGGCAAAGCCTTGTGGGGATGAATCTCATTAGTTCAGAACCACAAGTGCTGCGCTCCTGGTAGCCTTCATAAACTCGTGATGCCAGAGAGAGAAGTTGCGTATGCTACAAGCCCGAAACAGCTGTCCAGAGCTCCACATCTTTTTTCTCTTGGCATCACATGGTCTAATACCTTCATGATTGCAATTCCTGTTTGAGCTACGTATAACTTTATGGTATACATAATATGTGCAACAGAGTGGTCAGATATAGCTAAAATGGGGAAAACCGCCCATAGAGACAATATGGTAGGCCTACTTCTCTAGCAAATAAACCCCATCTCGACCTACGAGCAAACCAACTAGAGTCCAATAGAACACATAATGACTTTCACAAGAAACCTTTTCTCGCCATGTCCGTCTCTTTTCAAGAGAGGTCTGGGTTTGGCAATGCAGAGATGTAACATTTTCTTTTACTCACTGTCCAAGTAAAGTAGATGCAGGTTCTCTTACATCTGAATGTGTATGTGTGTGTGTGTGGTGATGCAGAAATCCCTCACCTACCTGGATGACAGACCAGTGTCCCCAAGAGAGAGCCTGTGCTGAGGCATGGTATGATGTGTACATACATACAAAACTATAAAATACCTCTTGTTTCACACAGAGCAATTTAGGGTTTGCTTTTGCTTTGTATAAGTCCTGCCGGTTGAGCTGCCCTGGTAGCTCAGGTGGTAAAACACTCTGCCTACTGCTGTAGGCTAGAGTCCTACCCAGGACAGCTCTTTTTCCTTCCGGAAAAAGTGCTGTCCTGGGTGTCGTTGATTAGTCATTTGCTTATGGTTCAATCAGGTTCTATACTAGAGGCATGCAATGCATTTTTGGCGAGTGAAGCGAACCGTTTGATTTTTCCCAATCACGTAGAATGTTACGGTGTGTGCAGTGCCCATCACATAATAGAAAATCGGCCCATTGAAACGACTAGGTAGGCTCGCTTCGCTCGTCAACAAGTCCAACGTATGATTGCTGGTTAGCGAATGTGAGCAAGTCATGGAGTGCAGTCCTTAAGTCACTCACGTGATGCTCGCTGCTCCTCCCCTCCCCCTCCCCCTCCCCCTCCTCCTCTCCTCACTATGCTATTGTTATCACCAGGAGAGAAGGAGGGAGAGATGCCGAGCAGCAGGAGCGACAGAGATGGGCGGAGAGAGAACAGCAGAGGATCCTCAATAGCATCAAAGGTAACAAATCTGCGTCAATTCCATCAAACTATGTTACACAATAGATGTACATATATAGCACCATTCTATACATACATACACCTGAGGTGTATGTATAGTGTATGTATAGTATAACACTGCTTAATGTGTCCCACCACATTTACCTAGAAACGTTGGATTCAAACATTCCCAGGGAAAGTCCCTGGTGGCAAAATTAGTAGTATAGTAGCACAGAATTTGCCTTGTTTTTCACAAACTTCCAGTGAAATGGGAGGGAGAGACATCCTAGAGGAAAGACATTCACTGGTGATGCTTTCCCAGAAGAGATCTGTACAGTACCCCATACATGGGCAACAGTCTTCACACATAATCTGCTGGGGACAGGGAGAGGGTACACATTTGTTTTCCTGTTTATGGAGAGGAGAGCCTACTGCTACCAGAGAACACTATTAGCCTCAGGTGGCAAAATTACTTAGCAGTGGTAGTAGTATGGTAGCACAGAATTTGCCTTGTTTTTCACAAACTTCCAGTGAAATGGGAGGGAGAGACATCCTAGAGGAAAGCATTCACTGGTGATGCTTTCCCAGAAGAGTTCTGTACACCCCATACATGGGCAACAGTCTTCACACATAATGTGCTTGGGACAGGGACAGGGTACACATATTATACTAGTGTTGTTTTCCTGTTTATGAAGAGGGAGAGCCTACTAATCAAGGAAACTAATGCTGCAGGAGTCCCTCGGCTTTCTGCAGCACCCACACACGTGACGTGGTTCCCTTGCGGCTAACCTATGCCAAAATAACACTCTTTGGTACAGGTTACCCTACCAACGACGCACTACAGGGTATGATTGATTGGCTCTTACGTAGTAACACCACAGCGGACCTGATATGACTTCCAACCTTACATGTACCAAGTAGGTTTGATCATGACAGGCATGCTCTGTGAGCGCACAATTTACCGGGAACTGTTTTCTAAATCGTAATTTGTGTTGCTTTCGAGGAAAAGCTTATGTAATTGTGAGATAATAAGGGCTTTACTGTTTTACAGTAATATGTATATAGTAGTCTGCAGTATATATGTCAGTAAGAGTTATAAAACCCTAAAATTACATTGCTCTCTGTGTTTGTATGTGTTGAAATTTAATGCACATTACAGGAGGTTTTGTAAACACTCGTCCGGTTGTTGGAATATTCTGCATGTCTGTGCAAGCGAGGTTGCACAAACACGACAGCCAGTTACAAAATTGCAAACAAACAATGACTGTGATTTCCTTGATTAGTAGGATGTCCCTCTCAATACAACAGGAATAATAACATTTCATATTCTGCTTTCCCTTCCACTTGTATATTATATCTCGCTGTCCCTAATGTCCCCATCTACGTAGTTCCTCTTATCCATATTTGTCCCTATCTTGCTTTTCTTACCCCTTATCCTACCTCTACCTTGCTTTCTTTATTCCTCTGACCTTTGTCTCACCATCTTTCCACCTCTTCTAAAATATGTAGAAAAAACCATGTGATGCCATCTTTCTATCTCTTCTAAAAGTTGTAGAAAAAACCACGTGATGCCAACATGTACACATTACTTTTCCATGTACATACATGGTTCTCTTGGGCAGTAACAATAACGTAGCCAAGTGGGACTCGTTAATCCTATTAAATTATCAACGTATATTATGTTCCACCATAATGTGCCAAATCTTTAGAGGTCTAGAGTAGTTTGTGTTGTTATTGCTTTTTCCACAATCTGCTGGTAGTGAAAATTGTGTGCCCCGTTTATTTTTTGCCCCATAATTGATAACAATTGCCACCACTGGAAATCTGTCATTAGCTATAATTATACGTAGAAACATTTTCCTCTTATGTATTGTCCTATAGATACAGCCCAACATGCACTTGGTGATTTTTGTTGCACGAGACAAGTTGGATTGAGTAGAAAACCATTCTATTTCCATGAAACAAAGTTGCACGAATGTTGCACGCAACTTCTGCCAATCATACATGCGTGACGCATCTTCCATAAAAAGTTACCACGTGCAAAGTTGTATGTTGGGCTTAACTTTCAAGGTTTGGGTCTTGTTGTGGATATAAAGCCGGGGGAGGGGGGGCCTACGTATGTATGTACTTAGCACAAACCCCCCACTGTATACCTTACTATCTTACTGGAGTAGGGCAAGGGACCAGACACACCATTATATTATCCACCCACCAATTAAGAAGTAAACCATAGCATCACCTCCAGCCGCATATGTATTACGTTGTAAGAGATGCCCTTGTTTGGTCATGAAGTATATACAGACAAACACATTACCCTCCTTACGAGGAAGAACGGAGAAAGTGCAATACTGCAGCCCCACACGTGCAACTGAAATGTACTGTACAGCTGCTGTCGTGTCATAGTGTGTGGGTATGTGTGTAAATTTAGGTATAGTACGAAGCAGTGCATACAGTTTCAGTATTCGGGAGGGAAATTATACCAGGTCAATGTTGGATTTTGTAATAACCTTCGTCTGCATAGTTTCTCACAGTTGTCTGGTAACGACACACCGACGGGGTAGACCACAAGTTGGGTAGTGGGTGAATGATGCGGTAGAGAAGGGCCGTAAAGTTTCACATTTTCGGCGAGCAATTGACAGCCTTGCTGTTCTTGGATCCTCGCACTCAATTATGCACATTCCTTACATGTCACCATGTACCAGACAGGCCAACCAACCATCCCGAGAGTTTCTGAATCGTGCTTCTATTAGATATCTAGCTGTCTAGTGCGCTTAGTTTGAGCCTCTATTTCATCAATATGAGCGTGTAGAGGACACCCAGCAATGTTATTGTGTCTCAAGGCCTCGATGCCTGCTTATGCTGGCTCTGAATCCTATATACATACCGGATAGAAAACGTTTTTCGTTGGTTTTCCCCGTCGCAACAGCTTCAATTTTCATGAACTGCGAAGCAAGTGTTGGTTGGTGTGCACATGCCACTGAAGCCATTGGTGTAAGGCTGGGCTCCATTCATACACAGATCGTAGTTTCAGCATGCAATACTTGGCAATTGTACATATTTACATACGTGTCTGAATTAAAACTTGCCAAGTCATCCACTAGCTATAAGCTGCAAGTCTGATAATGAATGCGTGTTTATTGTGTTCCTATTTTGCCCACTCACTCAGCAATTGACATTATATTGCATCACCCAATGTGCTTCTGGACTCGTGTACCCTACAAAATACTCCTCTGACTAAACTACAGTGTCGTGACATATTTACCATTCTTTAGTCTTGTACTGAAACCATACTAGTCCCTTCTATTCCAGTTCTATGGCTGCAAGGTTCACGTGAAATCAAATGCAAGTGAGCAGCCTGGTTAATTCCCATGGGGGAAGTGAGCAGCTATCTTTAGTGCACAACAGTCACAGACAGTCGGGATTGCACATGCAGGCGTGTGTGTACACATACGGCTAAAGGGGAGACTTTGTGTTTACGTTTCAGACCAGATTGAAAGACAAGGGGAATAGGTTTCTACACATACGTACATACATATCCATTCACACTGTCGTCATTTCCACGTTTATTCTTAGAAGACGTGGTGTCTGCATACATTCAGTTACATGTCCATATGTTATAATATGCTAATGTTAGGTTAGAGGCTATCCAGCCGCCCCCTTTCCCAGGTATACTGAACTATAGCACACTACTTGCACTCTCATCAAATCTATCTATATACGTAGTGCTGTGTTATTACAGACTGAGGAAAGAGGCGTTCTTTTCCTCCCGACATGTGTGCAGAGGTGACGCTAACTTCCACAGGTTGACGCTGTGGTGTTCCGGAATGTTTTCAAGATTGCTTAATGAAAGTTGTGTGGGGGAAACCTTCCTTTGACCCTCATACATGACTCGGGGTTGAACCTGTCATCAGTTACCTAATAACCATGGGTAGTTGAATCTGTTAGTGCCATGCATTCCAAAGAAAGGCTTCGCAAGCGCAGTTCCACTACACGTAAGTCTACGTAGTGATTCAGGAAATTGTAAACGGGGCTGCATATGTTCTGTGATCTTTACGTACTGTCGGCGGTCGCTTGCTGCCACATCCATATCGTCAGAATGTGGTTCCACTCTTGGAGGAAGCTTCAGTACATCTTAATTGGAGGTTCCTGATAGGAGTAGGAAAACTGATCTCTGGACATTTCCTGGAAGTCAATGCTAACTGACAAGAGTGGCATTTCCTGTGTCATTTCCACAACAGGGGAATCTAAGTGTTTGTCAGGTGAAATTCCATATTAGGACCGTAATACTTACAATAGTACCAATGCACATGGTTTTCACAGGCAAGTATCAATGTTAGGCTCAGCAAAGTGCGCCTTCAGTTAACATACTGGGAGTACATACATACATAGGTAATGGAAATCAAAATCTGCACAAAATCACCGACTGTCTTAAAGTTATGGCAAGTTACTTCCTGGTTTAGCGTGTGACTTGATTTGCGTGCACTGTGCTGTTTTCCCCCTGGCTGCATCTGCATGAATGTCTCTTTACAAACATGCTACATACATACATAGCCGTACGTTTTACCCCTAGGCAACTTGGCTTCTGTGGTGGACACAGGGTACAGCACGTGATAGAATATCGTGCTGTGGGGAACTATTGCTGGGGAACCTATTTAGTGGAATCCCCTTTGGGCACGCACGCACGCGGACGGTGTGCACGTGTTTCCATATAGCGCTTGGACTGAAGCAGATATGAAAGTCTGATTTTCCCTCCTCCAACTCTACACAATCAATCAGTGCAATACGTGTGTCAACTTGTCTGTTTTCTGTGCTTTGTTGAGGTTCTAGACTGCCTGGACTTACTTCCCTGCATACACACACACTCTTCCTTCCATACACACACACTTCCTTCCATCCTCCCACCTACTACAATAGCACCTCATGTGACAGTAACCACTGCTAGTAAGCTATGACATGAACACACAATGGCAAAATATGCTGTGGATTACCAACTTCCTCCCGTCACTGTCGATGGCTTGCTGGTTGGGGTACCATTATCTAATTGGTGTGCACAGGATGTACATGTCCAGAATTCCCTATTGCAGCCATATAAGTGATTACATCACTGTATATTACAGATTGCCTTTTGCATCTTCCATTGATCCATTTGCACCTGCAATAATGTTTAACCGCAGCACATACATAATAATATGCAGACGTATACCTTGAGTAGGTAAAATACTACACTCCATAGTTCTAGAAGTTTCTACTGTATTTTTGGGCTCATACTATATAAACGTCTCACAGATTTCATAATTTGCTCATTCTCCGTGTGCAGGACTGGCAAACATAAGAGCTCAGGCAACGGCTCGAAAGAAGAGAAAGCAGCAGCAGCAGCAACAGCAACTGAATGGAAAAGATAACACCAGCAGTGGAGACAGCGGCCCATCGAGTGGCAGTGATGTAGAGAGTGGCGAGACTTCCTCTGGTGATGACGAAGAGGGCGAAGAAGACTCCGCCACCAGTGACGGCGGCTTGAGCAAGGGAAACGACGGTCAGAGCCGTGAAACAGAAGATGCTTCTGTTGGACTGGGGAAGTGGTCTCCAGGAAGCGAGGTGAGCAAACTCAATTCACCACCACGTGCAATCCTTGCCCCAGTAGGCTGCTCCTGTCTGTGACTTTCACATACCTTATTTGGATAGTAGGTCAGCTACTTACATAATTGAGTCACACAATTGCAAAAAGACGTGGATTACTTTCCTTGATACTTTCCGTGAGGAAAACAGGCTAAGAATTGCACATACTGCAGGGTCATTTACACATGCATGCCTCTTGTATAGGTTCTCAACGAAAAGGATGCTCATGTAAGGCAGGGGTCAAAGTCCATTTCAAGTCCCACATTGCCAATAAGCACAGCCGTCACCAAACAGGACACATTTCTGACAGATTCAAACTCACCCGAAACCCTGCCGAGTTACTCCGATACCCCGACTCAGACACCACCCGAACACCCCACAGACACTCCACCCCAAAACTCCACTCGGCCGGTCGCTACACCAGAAACTGTCGACGACAACAAATGCACGCCTAATGACAACACTAGTGATAGTGTAGGCCTGTTTTCCAGCAAGACCACCTCTACTACAACCCACGGCCCACCTTTGACCCTGCTATTGGATTACCCTCCACCCTCCCCCGTTGGAAAACAGCAACCTCCACTCCTTCCCTCCTCTCTCTGCTCCTCCTCGACTCTTTACAGAGACATGGAGTCAGAGGGAGAAAAGAGAGGACAGAGAAGGGATCTCATTGTAGAGCTGGAGACCGAATCGTCAGAGGGCTCCACCACCTCCGGGAGATTGAGGTCTGAGAGAGAGCCGTCTGGTGGAGCCTCGGTGGAGACTGGGGGAGAGTGGGCTACAGCGGCAGTGAGTGGGAGAGAGACTGGGTCAACAAAGACGTCAGGTGCACCGGATTCAGTCACTGTTTTGGATGTTGAAGAAGAGGAGGAGGAGGAGGAGGAGGAGGGGAGGCGAGATACGAAGCTCCCAGCAACGAAAGAGACAGGTCCACCGTACTTGTTTGAGAAGCTGTCAGACGTCCCGGCAGTGAGAGACCAGAGCGAGGTGGAGGCTGCAGAAAGGGCCCTGGAGCGTCTGGCTGGGAAGCAACCTCACCAGCTGACCCCGTCTGACCGGATCTGGGAACTAGCAGCATGTGGCGGGTCGACACAGGCCAAAGACGACGTCACACTAGACTCCGACAGCAAGGAGAGGATCAAGGAGAGACTGCGCGCAAAGAAACTCACCGATAAGACCACTCTCGCATTCTGAACTCTACACACTTTCACGAAACGGCATTCTGTTCATTCCTGTGGTTATTGTATCAGGGCCACTGTGATTTTGAAAATGCCTGAGGCCAGCAAAAAACACCTGCTGTTAGTTTAACGTTACTCGTGTTGTTTGTATGAATTAGGTAATTCGAAACCATTATGTAATGTATTTACAAGAGCATCATGAAATTCCACAGACACTTCCAAACATGTGATCACGGAGTAATGGACACATGCACGAAGAACACACACACACATGCAGAGGTGTGCGAGTTCTACTGATGACCGTAGTGTGATGTTCTGCCGCCGTGATAGCTATTTCGTCTGTGGCGTGTGTCCATGAGCGACACGGCAAGTTCGCTGCCCCTAAAACCTCTTTCAGACCCGCTGAGTCTGTGCCTGTGCTCGAATGATGCCAGTGGCGAAGACACGTGACGAGGACTTCTCTCGTGGTAGTATCCATCGCTGGGTAGGGCCGGCTGCTCGTGAAACTGAGGGTCGTGCGTATTGCTCCTAAACCAGCGCTGGTCAAAAGGTTCACTTTCTCTACGTGTCAACTTTGCTGGCGGGGGCCCCAGGAAGTCTTCGTGGTGGGTGTGGTTTCGTGGGTTCCTCGGCAGCAGTGTTGTCTGCGGTGGAGAGAATGGGGTCCGCGGGAAATCTTGTTCCGCGTAATGGACATTTGGAGGTCTGGGCTCAACGGAAAGTCTCTGTTCGTGGTAGAAATTCCTCCGCCGTTGTGGTTCAGAGAGCGACATTCCAGGCGGGGGCTGGATGAAAGTGATAGAACAGTCGCCTTCGTTGAAGTGGGAGCTATTAGGTGGCGTGAAGAATTGAGGAGGAGGAGGAGGGGGAGGGTGGGGGAGCGAGAATGTAGCAAACTTGAAGGTCCGGATTTGCCAAAGCCGTGACTCGTCACATGTCGTTCGTGGACAAACGAGTCGCTCTCTCGTCTGTTTGCCTTCTGTGGCGTTGCGTACTGCTGTTTCTGCAACGGTCCGGAACTGTGCCTCCTCCAGTGACCGTTTGACTCACGATCTTTGTCAGTCTGTATCAGACCACTTCTCCTACTGCTGTTCTTGTTCATGACTGGTGTTGTGGGAGGGGCCGGCCCGAGAAGGCCCTGCCCCCCGCGCGAGTCAGACTGTCGTCTCCCGCCTCTTTTCCTCTTTCGGCTCAGTTGGTTGATTTCGTCGTAGACTGCGATGTAGGGAGTCAGCGAGAGGGGTCTTCCCTTGGGCGCCCCTTTGGACACTCCTGCATTGGGTTAGATGGAGTGATGGGAAGGGAGGGAGATAGGGGAGGGAATAATGAAGTGAGGTAATGAGGGAGAAAGGGGGGAAGGTAAGGAGGGATAAGGGGGATAGGGGGAGAGAAGGTGAGAATGAAGAACAGAGGGGGAAGGAGGGAGGGTATATACATACGTAACAAGGTATGGAGAGAGTGAGAGAGAAATGTAGAGGAAGGAGCTAGGGAGAGAGAAGGATCAAATGGGAAAAGGAGAGGGGTGGCAAGGGAAGGAGAAACAGGTGTGTGTCACCAACAAGGGGGCGAAATCGACATTGGAAGATAAACCATTACTACAAACAACTTGTCAAATTGCATGTCATCTGGGGAACCTGGCTCCTCCTATAATATACCAACAACCATGACATAATTATGTCATACATTCCATATACCAAAAAGGACATCCCATTATGTGACCTCAAAAATAGCATTCCAACTGAATTTCTATTTCACCTGCACAATAGGAGATTGACACTAGCCGGTTTCCCTGCTAAAATGTATGACATATGCATATCTTTCCCCCTACGACCACACACAGCAAGCTTTTGGTACATTACACACCACTTTGACAGCTTTAAAACATTCCCCAACACATCTTTGCATTGCGGTTATCGGTATGCGGTGACAGCAAGAATAAAGTGTAATGGCATACCAATAACTGTGTTTAATTGATTAATGTAAGGCACTGAGAAGATGTGAGAGCAAAATTCGAGCTGAGTCCATTACAGTTAATTACATAACCCACACTTTGGGACTTCTTTGAAAAAATCGTCCAACCTACATCACACAATGGCTTTTGGCCAGTCCTGCTTAAGTGTATGTCTAGTGGAGCCATTTGCCTCCCTTAGTCAGTCTGTCTGTCTGTCTTGTCTGTCTGAATCTTGATGACGTATGAACTCTGAACAGCGTGAGATGTTGAGTTTAACTATGCGTAAAACCATTCTTGTTTAATACTGGCCATGTGAGGGAGAAAAAATAAAACCAAAAATCAGCCACTAAGACTGCTGTATTAATACCAATGCCATATCAGTATGATAATACACAGCAGGAAATATTATTGTGTATGACTTAACATGATTTTCAGCTGGACTGCTGTGTGTGTCATATGCTGAATTGTCAACTTTCTGCCAGGTTTAACCCCCCACCACAATTAATTACTGCGGGAAATGCTTTTGCTGTTGAATGCAGTTGGCTGTAATGCATGCTAAAATCGAAATACTTATCAAAATTTGTGAAAAGTACTTTGTCAGACATATGTATGAAGTGAAAGATACTCACGTGGCCAAAGTGTCCCTTTCGTGCACAGTTAAAGCAGAAAATCTGTCTGCTCTGCCTCTGTCGCCTCGGCTCAATAACTGCCAGCCCCCTAGGAGGGCCCCCTCCATCCTGTGACATAATCATATCTCTTAATACTCACACACTCACACTCAGCCCCCCAGGAGGGACCCCTCCATCCTGTGACATAATCATATCTCACACACTCACACTCAGCCCCCCAGGAGGGACCACTCCATCCCGTGACATAATCATATCTCACACACTCACACTCAGCCCCCCAGGAGGGACCCCTCCATCCTGTGACATAATCATATCTCACACACTCACACTCAGCCCCCCAGGAGGGACCCCTCCATCCTGTGACATAATCATACCTCACACACTCACACTCAGCCCCCCAGGAGGGACCACTCCATCCCGTGACATAATCATATCTCACACACTCACACTCAGCCCCCCAGGAGGGACCCCTCCATCCTGTGACATAATCATATCTCACACACTCACACTCAGCCCCCCAGGAGGGACCCCTCCATCCTGTGACATAATTATATCTGTTACTCACACTTAGCTCGTGTGTCCGTGCTGTGATAGAATCATACATGTTACTCATATCACTCAATACTCACACACTCATACACGAACTTGCAAAAGAATAATTATGATACCAAATGCTTTAATGCGTGCTATATAATTATACCATTCTGCAGCCCTAATTGTTTAGCCATGACATAATCATACACCTTACCCCATGATCATATCAACATTCACTCACACTCACACACACACACACAGTTTGCTTATACCGCAAAAGCATGTGATACACATTGCCTAATGACGTGTGCTATTATTCTGATGTCCTAATCGCACAGCTTATCCCTGTACATGTCACATTAAAACACATCTTTGCTTAAACTGAAAAAGCTTATGATATCCAATGACCTAATGCAAAAACGTGCAACATTTTTAGACAGCGATAAGATAGCCCAGACTAGTAATTGCATAAGTGCTTTTCCCACTGAAACACGAACACATTCACCATCACCCAATTTGGAAAACGGAATGTTTGCATTATTCAGTTATGTCACCCAGTGCTCATGTGTTCTCTTGCTATGGGCAGATATGAATATCATTGAAAGTACAGTAGCAGTATTCACAGGGATAAATATTCCCTCCCCTGATTTTTTTCTTACTCGCCTCTCAAAATTTCCAGCTTCCTTCCCGTACCTCCCCCCTCCATGTTTGCATTTAACATTTGACCTTTTGTGTGATAGTCTACATGTACTATGTGGGAGTTGACCAATGATTGTGTGAGTTTCATATGTTGCAGCTGCGCAGGCACGGAGAATAATGACAGAACAAGTCAAAATTGTGACGGTCGAATATGGCTCTACGGTGGTAATGTGCAATGTGACCGCATTGTCACCGTCATAATATTATACGTATGTACTTTATTTTATTCTGACAGCTATTTAGTTTGCTCTGCATACCAACTCTACGGGAAAAGACTAAGGGCGTCACATGCCCACAGCTAGACCTTCAGGGCTGTGGGTGCATGGTTTATATAGAGGATAGCTTTCTCTTTACTGGGTTACCAATCTGAACGGCTAGAACTAGCTACTGCGAGGGACTCACCGAGTTCTCAGGGCTGTAGGTGGTGTTATGATACTGCCTCCATTTCTCGTGACACATCTGGAGTTCAGGAGAGAGCGAGTGAGGAGAGAGAGAGAGAGGGAGAGACAGAGAGGGAGGAGAGAGAGAGAGAGAGAGTGAGAAAGACCGTGGAGAGAGAGAAGGGAAGGTGACACAGGCAGAGGATCTTATACCATAAAATGCCGTCCAAGCACCCCAACCCGTTCATCCCCCTCTGCATACGGCACCGTAACATCCCCCCTTCCATCACAGCTTACCAGGAGTCACTCTCACATCTTATAGCCCCAACTACATTCGTGTTTGCCAACATCGTAGCTACAGTACGTCACTGCGCTCATTCGCAACTGCAATGAGGGTTTGCACTTTAGTGCTTTTATTCCTTGCGGAGATCATGCTGTCTTTCTGCATTACAACTACCATGTGGAGTGTAAGTAGTGCTTTTATTCCTTGCAGAGATCATGCTGTCTTTCCTGCATTACAACTACCATGTGGAGTATAAGTAGCAACATGCCTAGTGCACACACACACACACACACACCACACACACACCAGGAGCTCGTGTAAACGTGCTGAACCCACACTCTATACCAATAAGTAGGTGCAACATGCACGGCGCACCTAATGAGCTGCAGACATCAGCTCTGGAGCCACTCACATGATAAACACAAGGGGGGCTGGAATATTGGCTAGCAATAGGGAAATATCTTAATCCTACGCTGTCCTACGTATGTAGGTATGTAGGTATGTAGGTAAGCTACTTCCTGAGCTAGCTTGGCAGAATACCTACTGCAGTATTAATGGTGGGCAAAGGAATGCTAAGAATTGTGCACAATATAGATTCACAGTAACTGCAATCTTCGCAGATCACGAGTGCATACAACGGTTTAATTATCAGCAAAGTGGGCGAGAGGTTGATTACGCAATAACACATTTCGTGACTTAAAAGAAGTAAGAAGTGGGTGAGAAATCAGACAAGTTGTTTTGATTTGATGGTCCCCAACTGTGCTGTTAGCTAACTTACAAAATTTTGAGCTGTATGTACGTATCTCTAACTATGAAAAAACCGCCAACTATTAGGTCTTGAGATGAGGTATAAAGTAATGTATCGTAAAAAAGAAATTTCTTCAAGGCAACTTTATCACGGGAAAATAATTAACGAATGCTGTTGGCCAGCAAGCATGGGAGCTAAAAAACGTTTGTGCAGTTTCGTAAAATTATCAAGCTAACCTATAAATTTGAGCTCTGTCCATGTAAAAAAGTAGCACATTATACCGAAAAGTTTTGCAACAAAAAACTTTTCACGGAAAGTTTTTACCAACGCTGCCGGTCAGCAGACCCGGGAGCTAAAAAAATTCGCGGTTATTTCAAATTCGTGAAGCTCACGAAAGACGTATACAGTATATTTCACCTGCTCGTCATGGCCGTTACAGTAGCATCTCGGGCACTCTGTGTACCTCCCCCAGGGAGCAGAACAGGGCTGTGGAAGGTAGAGGGAGAATTACAACAAAAAAGATAGGTGTAGACCGCATAAAGAGGAGGTAAAAAGCACGAGGCTTGCACCAGTAAACTAGGCATTATTTTGCCTTTTAAAGGGAATGTGATAGTATATAAGGGCTAAATTTTGAAACACACACAGACACAGACACACACACACACACACACTCACACATACACACGCGCACTCACACACATCACACACACACACTCACACACACACACACGCACACTCACACACAGACACACTCACACATACACACGCACACTCACACAATAATGGAGGCCAAACTCACAGACTTTATTTTCTCATGACTCCTTCTCCTCCTCCTACACTCTTTTCTCCCCTCATTTTTTGTGTATTATACTTACCTGTCCTCTGTGTTGCTTCTGAAAGCAGTAGGTGCAGAACAACGACGGACAACGGGAGCTCATGTGGTCATGGCCACTGCAGATGTGGCAGACTTGATGTCGCTGTGTGCGTGTGTTTAGCGGGGGAAGGCAAAGAGAGGTGGAGACAAGAGGAGATGAGAGGGAGATGGTGGGAAGAGAGGTGGAGACAAGAGGAGATGAGAGGTTGATGGTGTACAAAAGATGTGTAGCCCCCGCGTCGCGCGCGGGGTCTGGTGGCCCTCGCGGTGGCGCCCCGCGGCGCTGCGTCGGCGCTGTGTGCCGCTCGGGTTGCGCCCCGCTTCGCTGCGCTGGCGCTGGTGTGCGCTCTTTAGATCGCCCCGCTGCGCTTCCGGACCTGGTGGGCCGCTCGTTGGCGCCCCTCGTCCTGCGCGGGGCTGGTGGGCCAGCGCTGGTTGCGCCCCGCGGCCTGCGCGGCGCTTGGTGGGCCGCGCGGTGGCGCCAGCGGCGCTGCGCGGTTCGCTTGTGGGCCCGAGCGGTGGCCCCGCGCCTCTCGGGCTCTGTGTGGTGCCGCGCGGTGGCGCCCCGCGGCTCTCGCTTGCGCTGGTGGGCCCTCGCGGTGCGCGCCCCGCGGCGCTTGCGGGCGCTGGGGCAGCGCGGTGGCGCCACGCGCGCTGCGCGTGCGCTGTGTTCCCTCGGTGGCTCCCCGGCGGCCCGCGGGCGCTGTGGCCTCGCGGTGGCGCCCCCGCGGACGCCTGCGCGGGCGCTGGAGGGCCGCGCGTGGCGCCCCGCGTCCTCTGCGCGGGCGCTGGTGGCCCCGCGCGGTTGCGCCCCCGAGGCGCTGCGCGGCGCTGGGGGCCGCGCGGTGGCGCCCCGCGGCGCTGCGCGGGCGCTGGTGGGCCCGCGCGTGCGCCCCGCGGTTCTTCGCTGCGCTGTGGGGCCGCTCGGTTGCTCCCCCTGCGCTTCCTGTGCGCTGGTGTGGGCCGCGCTGGGCGCCAGCGGCGCGAGCTTGAGCGGTGGGCCTCGCGTTGCTCCCCGCTTGCGCTTCGCGGCGCTGTTGGCAGCGCTTGTGCGCCCCGCGCGCTTGCTGGTCGCTGGTGGGCCGCGCGGTGGCGCGGCGCTGCGCGGGCTGGTGGCCGTCGCGTGGCGCCCCTCGCGCTCTGCTCGGGCGCGTGTGGGCCGCTCTCGTGTGCTGCCCCCGCGGCGCTGCGCGGGCGCTGGTGGGCCGCGCGGTGGCGCTCCCGCGGCGTCGCGCGGGCGCTGTGGGCCGCGCGGTGGCGCCCGCGGCGCTGCGCGGCGCTGGTGGGCCGCCGCGGTGCCGCCCCGTCGGCGCTGCGCGGGCGCTGCGCCCCCGCGCGGCCGGCCGGGCGTCGCGGGGCCGCGTTCGGGCGCCCCCGCGGCCTTGGCGCGGCCGGGGCCGCTCTGGTCAGTGGCGAGGACGTGGGCGGCGAGCAAAGCCTGTTCGACAGGAAGCAGTGATGTGTAAGACAGGAAGAGAAAAAAGTATGTCTTCTCGAAGGGGACCAAGTGCTATCTGTGAACACTTGATGTGATGCATTACTACAGCATTTCTTACCCTTTCCCTGACATAAAAATGTATGTATAGTATTCATGTATTTTTTTTTATAGTCATGATATGTAGTGTTAGAAACCAGCAGGGGGTTTCACTAACAGCCTTCTATGACATCATCGTGTTTTAGTTCACAGCCACAAAATGTAAATAATTTCTCTGTTGCATTAAAAGGCTTGCTATGAAAGATTTATGGCATATAGGATAACAATCATTGCAACATATCAATGACCTATGGCATATTAACAATGCAGTATAAGACCATTTAAACACTTCATTCATTCCTTATTATTACACTTATACATACATGCATGCTACATGACACAGATAGCCTTACTACCACTCTGTATGCTACGTCAATGCATCAATGTATGCTACGTCAATGTATGCTACATCAATGTATGCTACATCAATGTATGCTACATCAATGTATGCTACATTAATGTATGCTACGTCAATGTATGCTACATCAATGTATGCTACGTCAATGCATCAATGTATGCTACGTCAATGTATGCTACATCAATGTATGCTACGTCAATGTATGCTACATTAATGTATGCTACGTCAATGCATGCTACGTCAATGTATGCTACGTCAATGTATGCTACATCAATGTATGCTACATTAATGCATGCTACGTCAATGCATGCTACGTCAATGTATGCTACCTCAATGCATGCTACGTCGATGTATGCTACATTAATGCATGCTACGTGACACAGATAGCCTTACTACCACTCTGCATTGTCTTAGTTGTGACGTTGGCTAACTAAAGTATGGAACTATGCCGCCACAGTACAGTGAGCTATTGAAGACGGGAATATTGTCTTAGTTGTGACGTGGGCTAACTAAAGTATGGAACTCTGCCGCCACAGTACAGTGAGCTATTGAAGACGGGAATATTGTCTTAGTTGTGACGTTGGCTAACTAAAGTATGGAACTATGCCGCCACAGTACAGTGAGCTATTGAAGACGGGAATATTGTCTTAGTTGTGACGTTGGCTAACTAAAGTATGGAACTCTGCCGCCACAGTACAGTGAGCTATTGAAGACGGGAATATTGTCTTAGTTGTGACGTGGGCTAACTAAAGTATGGAACTCT